TTGTTATCAACATTATGATTGGAATTTATGATTGTCCTTATGATAATACTATAATTTATATTATCAATGATTTATATCTTATTTATGAATTATTTTTAATTTATGAGTAATTATTTTTATCTATTTTAATTTTTACGTCTCCATCCACTTCGAGGCATCATAACCTCACTAAATCAAAATGCTTTTGGTCCGGATTTTCATCTCCGTAATCATTGGTTATAATAAATACCCATAAAGCTCTTAAAAAAGACCATAAGAAAGCTAAATTGTTACCATAATAATTTTTGAAAGAACGGAAAGTTCTCAATTATTTGAATGTTGAGTTTTGTTGATGATTTTAACTATATTTCAAATGTTTATACCACACTCAAATATTTGAATCTTGAGCTTTATAGTTAATGATCTCAATCATCTTCCCACATATTGTTATATTTACATATGCCTAAGGTTGGTCAACATAAGTTAATAGAAAATGATTCATTTAGTTTTAGGTTATGATCCATTTATGATAAGTTAATTTTTCTTCATGGGTGATAGTTCATTTGATAATAAAAATCATTCTTTAATGTTCAGACCTCATGATTTTTTTGGTACTCAAATAACTTAAGGGAATGTTACCTTTATTAATTTTAAATAAAATTGAATATCTTAGATCCTGCTTATAAAAATATTTTAGTTGTATTTTAAAAATTAGATACATATTTGTGTAAATGGGGATAAGAAGTTTGAGGATTCTAGCATCAATGTGAAGGTGTTTATAAAAGATTAGGATTCTAGGCAGTTTTTAATAATAATATCATGCTTGGAGAGAGGGGGAGAGAGAATATGAAGTAACTACATTCTTAATTGTTATACGATTACATTTATATGTGTGGCTATATATAGGCAAATGAGGATAACAATACAGAAAAATATAATAAAAAAGAATATGCTTAATATACATTTGTAGATTTATACTATAAATAATTTAGACATCAGGATAATTTACATAATGATGACGATTACAAATCATAAATTACAAATAATATGATAACATAAACTTGATGATACAAACATCATCACAAATATGTAAATCTAGACTTCCATGGACATAAAATAATTATTAATAAATTTAAAAATTGTAACATTTAATTTCAAAATTGTTAAACTTTAAGATTCATGTCAATTTTGTTTGTCTTGGAAAAGTTGGTCTAACTGATGTGTTGAATTTACCAATAGATCATGACATGCTTGTTGAGTTTCCTGTTGATATGTCTAAGTATTGTTTCATATTCCCTTCTTTTCATGCAAAGTAGCTTTAATATTAACCATTGAACTTGGATATTTCATCGCCTATTATAGTTCCAGGCACATGATTAGGATAACCTTCTAGGAAATTAATAGATAATATATGGAATAATAAACTAGGAGCTGAAAAGAGAGTAATTCAAATTATGGGTTGATGGCTAATGATACTATATCATATCATACACATTAAAAGTAAAGTGCTACTAGAAATTTGAGATTTCTTGCTTATATGCTTTCGTCTCAATTCGATGAGTAACTGTATATGGTCCCTTTTTGTATTCAACTTCTCAAGTACTCGTGGAGGAAAGCTTTTTGTAATTTTAGATGGGTGATGTATTTCGTACATTATTCACATATTTTTTTAGTTTTTATACTAGATTTTTAATTGTTATGGTTTTAAACTAGTTTCCAATAAACATGCAAATTAGACATGAATAATGGGTAATGTAGTAGGATATTAGCTTTAGAGGTATTGATAAAATAGCTATATGTTTTCTATGGTATGATTTTATAAATAGTTTGAAGTAGGGAAAAGTTTAGATAAATATTAAAATTAATATTTATAAGTTTCTAAAAGACTGTTTGATAACATATAAATTATGCAATTATTTGATTTAAATTAATAATTTTGGACAAATGACATCCTTAAAAAAGTTAATCTGAATGATGTCAACATAAAATGTATAGATCTATATGTTTTCTGAGGTACGCTTCTATAAATAGTTTTAAATTTTAAAAATAATATTTATAAGTTTCTAAAAAACTTTTTGATAACATATAAATTATGCAATTATTTGATTTAAATTAATAATTTAGGACCAATGACATCCTTAAAAAAGTTAATCTAAATGATGTAAATATAAAATGTATAGATCAATATGTTTTCTGAGGTACGCTTCTATAAATAGTTTCAAGCAGGGAAAAATGTACATAAATTTTAAAATTAATATTTTAACATATAAATTATACAATTATTTGATTTAAATTTAATATTTTTGGACAGATGACATCCCTAAAAACGTTTATCTAAATGATGTAAATATAAAATGTTTAGAGTTAATGTATTTTTATATTTTAACTAGATAAATATAGTTTTTAGTTTGTTATTTTCTTGAAATTCGCTCTATGAATAAATTAGTGGATGTATTGATATAATTTTATATGCAATATAAATCTTTTGATGGACTTATAAATTAAGAAACAAATACTAGATTAATACATGTTTGACTTAGTTGATAAAGGGATTGTTTGTATAAATAGCTTCTAATAAAATGCCTTATCCATTTTTTCATTTGATTTAACAATCTTGTAGACAAGTTTTTCCTCATTTCAAACATGGATATATTTAGATTTTACTTCAAATTTGGATTTTAGATAGTATGTCAAATTTTGTTTTATATTTAGGTTTTGAGGTTTAGGTGAGTAGTTTTTGGGCCATACTCTTCTGCATATTTCCAGTGCAAATTATAGTCCAAATGTAGGTTCTATTTTAAGTGCAAAATTGAATGTGTAATATTTTTTTAATTTCACATAATTCATCCTTTAATGAATATTTATTAATTATAATTTCTTCAATAAAATTAAGGTTGACTATACTTGGTGTTGGGGTTAATGCCTGTTTAACATACTTAGCGCAGGACTAGAAGATTTTTCTCTAGCAAGGCTAAACACAGGTTTAGTTATAGTCCTAACAAAATGATCAATAAAATACCATTCACGTATATTGCTCTTTAGTAAACCCTATTTATTTTGTTTGGATAATTTAGCTGAATTCATATTTAATATTTTGTCTAAGATATTTGATGAATTAAATTTTAAAAATAGTCGAACTTTGGGCAATGATGCATGGCCAATAAAATTTTAAACCTAATAAAATTTGAATATGCGATAATCTTCTTTAAATTTTTAGAATTGATCATACAAGTGATTTCTATAATACATGAATGAAATCTTTTGCTTCATGAGCTTTTGTTTCATTCCCGTACAATTATGTTTTATTTCAATAGAAATACTTTGCCAAAATTATTACGGACATCTTATTAGTTTTATTTGACAGAATTAAATCATTTGAAAATCAAACATAAATGTACGGGAATGCCTCTAATTGGAAGGATTATTATTCTCAAATACTCGAGGGTTATGCCTCTAATTGGAAGGATTATTATTCTCAAATTCATAATGGTTGTGCTGTACTTGTCTAGAATCATACTCTAATTGATTTGTTAAATTCCATTTAATTGTTTATACAGAAAAAATTTAAATAATGACATAAATATTAAGCCCTACATTATAAAACATTTTGATCTAATCTTAAGCTCTAATATTATTATAGGACTCAATTTTTGTGGAAGAATAAGACATTAATCTTAAAATAACCATTGATATTTTTGACGAAAATTAAAAATAATAAAAATCTATTCTTAATTATAGGATTTTTAACCCCTATGAGAAATAACCATACAATCCGCAAAAAAAAGGATTAAACTATGTTAAAACAGGGAAAACTGTATTTGAGCAAATTTTATAAAATTTAATTAGGCTTGAACCAATGATGAAAAGACAATTAGGAGGGAGAAAAAAAGTTGAAGTTACGGATAAGGAAGTGTCAGGCTTGCTCAAGGAAGATACCACACCCAAAATTATTTAACTTTGACATTTGATCAGAGAATTGAATCCCAAAAGGAGGAGAATGATTTTCACAATGAAAAGTAAATTTTACTAGCCTTTGATTATTTTTTTTTCTTTACATTCCTTAAAATACCTTTTATGCTTCTCATGGAATTACAAAGAAATAATCCATGAAAGAAATTGATGGTGGAAAGAAGAAGTTGCTGATAAGAGCAACCGATAATTTCAGAAAGTAGCTATATGCTTTTTAGACTATATTCACAACCAATGGCATCGTTTGCTAGAATTGGCAGCTTTTAGGCGTGGGGTCCAAATGATCTTTAACTACTAAAAAAAGGGAGTGCAAGTATGGAACTTAAGTAGCCATCTTTAAATAATTAGACAAAGAGAACTGTTGAAATGGATGGTAAAATATATATAAATGGAACCACGAGCACCATAAACTACAGGAGTGCGATGATAGAATAATAAACTTCAAAACAACCCCAAGAAAGGAAAAAAATAATCTTAGGAATATTTTAAAGTCATATGTAAATACAAATTCTAACCGATACAATTAATTGATTGTAACAAAAAATTATGCATAAAGAATTTTGCAGATCAGAATTGGGGTGATGTCATCTTGATTTGCTGGCATCCTACCTCCGTTGTGAACACCCATCATGACCCAATAAATGGTCTTGAATTATGAAGGATTTCAAGGTACGCTATTAACGCCAGATTTGACTATTATGAGTTTGCACAATCAGCATCTTAGCTTTTGACCGGCAATTTTAGATTGTTTCAGAAGATTAAGGACATAGCTTGCCACTTTTTGAGAGTTGAATCATTTAGATGCACTGTAGGGATAATTGAGAACCAATGACACATCATTCTATGTTACAAGGACCAAACTGCAATTTATCTTGTATGTACTGATATGTTTTTGAAGAGAGGGAGAATTGCACCATCTTTAATGACAATATATCTGTAGCCAGTATTTTGATGGATTGTGCATCAATTCACAGCTTTAGCATTAATCTTAACATGAAATATTCTTGAAAGTTTATTTGTTTTGAGATTCATTTTTCCCTGTCTATTTTTAGGCTCTGTCCTCTTTTGGTACAAAAATGTTGGTAATACCTGCAGTCTCTGAATTAACGGACACCTGGACAAGTGTTTTTGGTTTCAAGCCGCTCGACAATTCACAAAAAGAAGAAATTAAGTCTGTGAATATGTTGGTTTTCCCTGGAATTGGTCTGCTACAGAAGCAATTACTGAAGAAAGGCTCAACTGTACAACGTGCAATTCCCGAACAAGTTTAATATCAATTTAATTTTACTTGCCTTCCATGTCATTATTCTCATTTTTTTTATTTCAGTTACGAGACAAGAATCCGAGCAGATTTCATGTGATGCCATTGAAAGGAACAAAACTGAAACCCTGCTGTCAGTTGTGGCAGACCATAAAGGTTCACCTGTTGAGGTTATAAATACTAAAGAAATGAAATATGAGGAAGGAGGTGCTGATCATGCTATCGCTACTTTGTCGGCAGATGCGTCTGGATTGAATGCACAAGAATGCTGGTCTTCAGATGCTACAGAAATTGGCAAGTTAAATAAAGTTGAAAGTGTTGTCTACGGTGACAATTCAGTTCATGAAAAAGAATCTCAAGTAGATAATCTAGAGAAGATGACTGTTTTTCTTAAAGAGCTTAAACATGAAACGCAAGATGTGAAAAACACTTTGCTTTCCATTCAGAACAATGACTGTAAACTTTTAGCAGATGCTTCTGGATCTCTAGCTTCAGGACGCAGATCCCCAGAAGATGAACTAGATTTGGAATTGTCTCCTGTTAGGATTGTTTCTGGCAGTAATCCTGTGGAGGTTGACAAAATTCCACTGGGTTCTACAAGTAAACCCGGAGAGCCTTTTGTTAATATCATGATGAATGATGCTGCTCAAAAGAAAGTTGAGGATACTGATGAAAAATCTACTGCAATTGGTGATGATGGCATTGTTCTGCGATATGATTCTGACTGCAGCACTAACATTGCTTCCAAGCTTGCGCTTGCAGGAGAAAACAATGCACCTAATCTGATTTCTAATGGTAATATAACTACACATAATTTGGAAGACCCATGTGGAGCTGCTAGTGCTGTATTGGTTACAGAATGTAATCCTTCTGACAATTGGCAAGGTATTTCAACTGCCTCCTTGGAGCCTTGTCCGGATACAAGCACTACTAATTCATCTCTAGAAATGGGTGATTCTCTGCTGCATGATGCCAATATGAATGAAAACCATGCTGGAGAGGATCTGTCTGTTGATGTTGAAATGCAACCACAACACTCAGATGATGCTTTGAAGCTGCCTAATCCAGATAATAATATTGGTGCCGGCTTTGCTACTCTTTCCATTGAATCACTTGCAGATGGAGCTGATCAATAACAAGGTAAAGCCCAGGCCTGCCTCTGATGATCTGGAAACTAAGACAGATGAAGAGGATGTTAAAATTTATACAGTTAAATGCTTGTTCTGCTAAAAATGGTACTTCTTTCTTGGTCGGCTTGAAAGGGCCTGGTGCTGTTGATGCTAGCTTACCTTGCTGGAGAACACCGAACTGCTTTAATTTCAAGGAGAACTTCAATGCGCAGGTGATCCATTTGCTAGGGCTGATTTCTCAATAAAATATATTCTACGAATTTCTAACACTTTTCCTTAACTGAGCATCAACTTTCTGATGATAGGCATGCACCAGAAGCTTCTCAGAAAGCAACTGGCTTCCTTGTTCATTGGAGCAGAATACATGTTATCTTATTAGAAATCAAGCTAGTGATCAAATCTCCAAGAACACTGATAAATCTGCTCATAGTGATCATAAGTTTAGAAACTGCATACGTCGGAGGATACGGACTACATTGTCGAAAATGAGGACACTCAGTTTGATGTAGTTTCTTGCTGCACTGGACTCTCTGATGATAACATCAATCACGCTGTGGTAAAAAATTCAGTTTCAAATGATCTTTTTAATGTTTCCAGCTCTATCAATGGTTTTGTGGGCGCTAATGCTACCTCTGAACAGGGGAGGAACCTGTCTTTTTTTTGAGGGTTGGCAAATTTATTATAAAAATAAAGGCATTAGTAATGCTGTATTTAGTTGGAACGATAGAACACCTATTCCAGCTGGGTCGCTATGCATTACAAATTTAGCTATTTTCAGGTGATGATTAAATCATATTGATTTGCCTTTTTGTTATTGCAACTTTGGCAACTTTAGAATTCATTTGCTCTAACTTTGATTTTGTATTTGGCTTGGACCAGCATGTAAATAAAAGATTTGCTTTCTTAAGCTAAGTTTTTTGTCGCACTGGTTGATTGATGTGATCCAGTGAACTATTTCAATTTCTTGTAGAGATTTTTTCTAGATAGTGTTTAGATCTGTTACTCTCTTGCTCCAAAATCTTCTCTTATTAGTTTTGTAAACTTAAATTGGATTCTAATCTTAAAATTAAAAACATTAATCTTGTTTCTTGTTGGAGACATGGTAAAATAAATTTGTTAGGGCTGACAAAAATTGTCCCTAATTCGACCTGTGCCAGACTTGAAAAATTCAGGCTCGGGTTAGGCATGATTGATTTTGGGTTGGGTTCTAGATTTTAATCGGTCTAATTTTTTTGGTTGGGTTTGGGTTGCCCCGTCAATTTTCACTGTTGCTGATGTTAAAAATGTATTAAAATTAATTAATATTATTAATTAAATTTAATTAAAATTAAGTGACTCGCTCCCTTCTTATTCCATTAACCGTGCACGAATCTCTACCGCGTCCACCCCTCACATCTTCTGTCCCGTCTGCCAAAGGCTACAGGGAGGCAACGACGAGATCGCCGCGGGTGAAGATCATCGAAACTCCTGCTGGTAAGCATCTCCGACCTAAATCCTTCGCAGTGCAGTCTCGATGAGAGCAGACAAGGAAGATGACGATGAATCGCGGCGTACAATGACACGGGATCCCCTCTTTCTCCCTGTAGATGCTAGAAATGCTCGCCTGCCCCTCTCCTGCCCGAAGGCCTCGCGAGACAGTAGCGATTGGCTCTAACAGGGAAGGGAACGACGAGATCGCTGCATACAAAGGTCCGAAACTTCCTCTATCCCCTGCGGGAAGCCCTCGCATACCTTTTATACTCCACCTCATTCTTTAGCAACACTGCTCCTTCCTGTAGCAAAAGCGCTGATCATTCTCTCTCTGTGGCGCCCGCCCTACCCCGATTCCTCCCAACCGAATGCCTCTCCCCGCCGCTTCTGGTCGCAAAGCCGCGCCTTACTTGCGGTGAAGCCAAGCGATTCTACTTGTTATCAGACCATCAGATCTTGTTGCGCCTCCTAAGACTTGGATGCTCCCTGGTAGATAGTATCTCAGTTTGCAAATGAAATTACAGTTAAAGTTGGTGATGTGAAGTAAAAATGCAATGCAATGTGATATAAAAATTGTGTTTTATTAGTTATCCATGCTAGTTTTATGTTTTGGAAGGAAACGTGTGTGGAGCTAGCTTAAGGGGGAAAAATAGCCAAAATGACTGCCTATGTGATGAACCAGAGCCTTGGCACCTGTTTTGGGCGCCTAAAAGCTTGAAGCCAGAGCAGCCGGAGCCCATACACTAGTTGTGGGCGCTTACACTCCTGAAATGACCTATAATTACCAGAGCAAACATAATCCCAGCACTCTAGACCATCGCTCAGGCTCTCATATGTGTGGGATTATGGCTCGAGATGTTTCGTTCGCTTTGTTTCACGGGTGGTGGCTTAAATTTGTCTAATACAAAGAATTGAGGGAATGCTGGGAGATTTTGGCAAACGTTGGTGTAGGAGAGAAAGCAAAGAATATGAAGGGAAGAAGTGAGTGCGTGAAGAGAGTGACTCTCTAAATGTAAATTTTAGATCTTCTGAGTGTTCCAAAACGATTGTAAAGTGTGTGAAAAAAGAGTGTAATTCCAAGAAGGAAGGAATTCTGTGGAGCAAGCAAGGAGTCATCAGGTTTGAATTGTTCTAAATTATTTGTTCTATTTGCAATGAAAGTGTTTGTGATTTTCCTTACAATGTGCAGTAACTAAATTGTATCTCTCTCTGGAATTAGGATCCAGAAAGTAAATATTTAATCCATGAATTTGTAGAATAAATTAAACTTCATGTACAAGATGATATGTTAACGTTGCATGCTTAAATTACTTATAAATTAGTCATTTAGAATGTCAAAAAACGTTGTGATCAAGTATTATAAAAGTTGGCTCACGATTGGGATAACAGACACAGGTGCAGGAGAATAGGAATATTGTTGCGAGATATGTGCAATCATTTTGAGAAATTTACAAACACTGAGATTTTTGCTTGATTTAGGGAACTTAATTGTAATATGACATCACAATGCTTCTTATGGATTTGGAAGCGACTAAGGAGTAAAGTTGTTTTTGATTGTCATCTACTTTAAGATTTTGTGAATTGATCTGAAATTTTTAAGTTCGGTTCAAGGGAGATTAATTCATTTGATTTTAATTCTCTCTCCAAACATAGTTGGGATTAGTTGGGATTTTTTTTTTTTTACAAAATAAGGATTTAGTCATCTTGAAAATTAACCAACTACAACCTGCAAGTTAGAATTGGGGCTAATGTACTACAATTTTATCTATTTTGGAAATTAAATAAGTTTCTCGTGGGATTGATACATTGACTCAAATTTGTATATTATTTGATCGACATGTATACCTACGTGATTATCAATGCTTTACAACATTATTTGCATCAAAATTTTTGGCGTTGTTGCTGAGAAACGACATTAAATTTTCTAATTGATAATAATTTTAGTAACACACTTGATGTTTAGGTTTGAAACATGTACTATTGTTCAGTACTGTATATTGATTGTTTTTAAATTTTTTATTATCATCATCTAATTGTGAGAAATTAAAAAAATATTGTATCTTGTGATTTTTATGGTGATAGTTTGCACGTTATTTACTTTACAAGTAATTGTTGCTTTATGTTGTCGATAGACTCGATGCGGTTGTTGCTGCCTGTCGACTCTTGCTCATAAGAGGCAGTGTGGCCTTCTGATGCACTCAACCCCGCTGCAGTCAAGCTAAGGGTGGAGGTGGGGGCAAGGCACGTGGTGAGGGTGAGGGGGGTTGGTGGCAGAGGTGTTGGTGGGGGTGAGGTTGGTGACAGGTGCAGAGCTAGGGGTCGAGGCGACACGAGGTTGAGTGTGGGGGCGTGGGTGGTGAGGGAGGTGGGGGCAGGTGCATAATCAAAGGCAGAGGTGGGGGTCGGGCTGTGGCGGGGCTGGTGTTCGAGGTAAGGGCTGTGGTGGGAGTAGTTGTCGAAGTCTAGCGGCCTCTACTGTCATTTTTCTTCGTCAAATTACACTGTGGTCGAGGTAAGGGCGGGGAAGGGAGACTGTCTCTACCTCCAATGGACATCTCTGCAATAAGGAGAATAAATTTTATTAATTAGTGCACACAATGCACATTATGTAATAAAATAAAGGCAATATTATATAATAAATATAAAACACATAAGTATGCAATGGATAGGTAGACGAAATTATAAAGTGCAAGGTACAACTACTTAATCTGAAAACACAAAACTACGCAATCAATTGAAATACAAAATTCAATGAAAGGTACAATAAACTTACTCATCTTACTCAACATCATCTAGAGAGTGACTAGATGGTGTACATGATCTCTTCTTCAAACACATCGTCAGAGTCGTACTGATTACCGAGATTAAGTTCTTCGCATTCGCCACTGGCAACCTCTAATTTGAACTCTTCATCAATTGCATCAAGTGGAAAAAAGAAACTTGTCATTTCAGTTTATTGATGGGTCGGTTCAATATTATTTTGAATATTAATGGTGACTTTTGGTTTACTTGAAATGACAACTGCTCAATCCACGTTATCTAATACTCTATGTGGATATCGAAGATAATAGACCTGACTCGTCTGTCGGGCTAGAATGAAAGGATCAATTTTTGCATATCATTTGTTCACTTTCACTCTTGTGATATTATAAAGTTTGTTTTCTCTCGTTCCACAATCAGGGATAGGATCAAAGAGTTGAATAGGAATACACTTCCTCCAATAGAGTCTGGATAAGATAGTTCAACTTCTTCTAGAATCTCATAATTTATATCTCGTCGTTTGACTTATCATTTGTTTTAACACATGCTTAAATTAAATATTTTTTTTCTTCGGACAAGGATCTCATATGAAACATGTATCATTCCATTTCTCTAGTCATGAATCTATTAATATATACATAAGAAATCTCGTGTTAATGAAACATCTCGTGTCACGTGAAGAATGAATATGTCAATTTTAACTCACATGTATTGTAAACCACTGGGGGAAGTTAGTCTCAATCTTTTTGCTCATGTCATCATCATTCTTAATTAAATTTAACGAATCAACGAATAAATTGTTCACACATTGAAATATCATTGAAATAGTTACTCATGACATTTTTCAGATAAATGAGTTAAAAATTATAATGAAAGATGTCTTACTCAACAAATAGTTGTACTTCGTCGCAATTAGGATGAACATAAAGTGAAGGTGCTCGAAGTTCCTTATCATTAAGATAACGTGATGTGCATATTTTCGATGCTTCACCTAACAGCTAGAAAGCAGAAAGGGTCGATGGTGGCATTAAACGCAATGACACTTTCGTAAACTCTTCTTACGCGAAATACTAGGAGCAAAATGTCGTTGTCTCTTACAGTAAATATGCTTCAAATATCAATCCTTCTGGTCCGACCTGTAGTAGATCTAATTTCAACACTAAGCATATTCGTCGCCACAAACTCCATATGTGATTGACTACACACTTGGAAATATTTTCTTAGAAGAAGATATTTCGAAAGATGTAAGATTTTTCACTGTATCCTCACGTGCTAAGTTTAATTTTCACAGCCATAATGAAAATTTACATTGAAATCTAAGTTGTCAGTTCCAAAATGTAAATTCACTTTGAAATCTAATTTGCATTGCCAAAATCAGAATTGTGGCAGTGGATCTTGAAACTAATAAATTTGATTTCGAAGTGAATTTTCATTATGACTGTTGAAATTAACTTGCATTAAAAGATGCAGTGAAAACCCTTACATCTTATAAAATATTTCATCTAAGATCATATTACCAGATGCTCAGTCAGTCGCGTAAGGGATTGCAGTGATGAACATGTTTAGTTTTATGATTGACTTTACAGTTATAAACAAAATACAAAACAAATATGCTTGTGATATGGTTGGAGTAGCTACAGTTATAAACAATATTAGAAAGAGACATCATCAAGTCTAAATAAATCATTAGAATAACTTTTTCTTAATACGAAAGAACAATTACTGCTCGAAATTTGACCATTTTAATTTTGATTTTGATTTCTTTAGAGCCGACAATAATTAATCTCGAAATCATAACGTTAACAACCTACTAAGGTTATCAGGGTTGTCGAAGATCATAATCCGTGAACATTCATTAATATTTTATCTCTAATCTTATTTGTCACCATAGCTACATCAACTCATTCATGATTATATTACGTTTGCATTTTATCTATGAGTGTAAATCTAGTGATTTGTATGGGGTTTGCAATTGGTTTTTCACTTGGAGACAAAATATGGAACATATATTTTTGTGTGCGGGTTGTTATAGCTACAATAACATACACTATTAGAGAGAGATGCCTTAATCAATTAAGAGTCAATATTCAATCGTTTAATGATCTTCGACAAAACTAACATATTAAGATGTTAAACAATCCAACTTCAAGCTGAGATGATGTAGGTTCCACCAACCAACTTAAAGGCTACTAATTAATCACTTCCTCATCTATATCACCATCACTTTGAACAAGAGACTGGAGATATATAGAACTTTCACAATTTTAAAATGATTTGATCACCTATTGTGACAACTCTGCCATTAGAGCTACTAATTCTACATTTACATTTCAAGTATTCAATTCTAGATCTACTCAAACAGAGGACTTTAAACTCCAATATTGGCCTTCATAATTTAAGTTTTTCCTAAACTCTGTCTCTAGTTATATCCACAAGAAAGGATATCAACAACAAAAAACATACGCCAAGGTGCATCCTCCTGTAAATGTTTAGTAAGAGCATTCATAAATTAAGCAAAAAATATATGTGCTTGAAGCCCATCCCTGATGTAATTAGAGTCGTTAACGATTTGATTTCAAGCCGAGTTAGGGTCTGCTCATAATCAGCTCTAAAAAAAATTTATCCAAAATTTGGGCTCGTAGCTCCACTAATTTATTTTGATCCAATCTAGATCCGAGGCAAAATTCGAATCATTTTTTTCGAGCGAATAACGATCTTTGAATTAAATTTGCTAAATTCACAATCATGTATTATTAAAGATCAGATTTCGAGCCGAGTTGGGATCAACTCAAAAATTGACTAAAAAAAAAATCAATCCAAAATTTTGGCTCGTAGCTCAGGTCGTTTATTTCCCTCTGATCCCAATCCGACCCAAAATTTGCATCAACCTTCGAGCAATTAACAATGTTCGAGCTAAATTAACAACCGAGGATGTAATTCAAATGGCAAAGCCTAAACACATTCTTCAAAGAAAATGAAAATAAATGAAAATGAAGATAACAAGTTACCTTCCTCACCCGTTTCGGGTAGCGGAGGAGCGTATGAAGGAGAAAAATGAGAGTTTCCGGTCACTGTAAGTCGCGATCTTGCCGCTATGTTCCCAGTTAGCTCCTATTCTTACTGTATTGCGGGGATTTCAGAGAGAGACAACAACTTCGGTAGAGAAGTCGAGGGCCAGAGGCAGAGATTAGGGCAAGACCGAGAGGGAGGTGATTTCGGGCGGGATATATGGTTAGTTCCGAGGGTCTATTTTTCGCAAAACTGTCGGTAATTAGAATAATTTTTCCGACGTGTAAAAAATCGAAGGTTTTTCCATCGGTTTAGGATACTTGGTTGAACTCTCTGTATGGGAAGTTCTTAGCAGAGGTCTCTATGATAAATGTGTCATCTGACGAAATCATATGTTATATTTGAAAAGATAACTTTAAAGACAAACATTCATATCTTCCTAAGTTATTGCACTATTTCCAATATTTGAAGGATGATAACAAATAAATTTGATATTTAATCTTCTTTCAATTACTTGAGCTATTAATTTCATCAAGGAAGACTTATAAAAACTCATAAAACATAAGAGATTGGAGTGATATAAATGTAAAAAAAAGGCAAAGTTTTAGTGTTAGATATGTAAATACATAAGAATTGAATGGTGTTAAAAACTAAAACTTTGTTACATATGATATAGTCATATTTAACTACTATTTATAAGGTATTTTTATAAAATCTCACTAATCATAAGTCAATTTATTACTGAGTTCATGTTGCAGTTTTAAGTTGTTGCTGTTTGATTGCCAAAAGGGGAATTTACATACATACCACCAATTCTTATGTATTTGTCTATCATTAAGAGTTATAATTTATTTTATTTACATTTATATAGTGCATAAATCTCTTATATCACATCAAAAATATAATCATTTTAAATGCATGGAGAATGTGGCGTGTATTTAAAAATTGAAGTTTCGGTGTTAGATATGTAAATAGATAAGAACTGAGTGTTGTGTGCATGAATCTTCCGTAAAAAAAAAATATTTATTTTACTTTCAATAATTGTGCGAGAATTGCTATATTTTAGTTATTGAGGCATTTCATTCAATTTTAGTATTTACATATATATATCTATATATAACAAAATCAATTAAATAAATAATCCGAGTTAAATCAGATCTAAATCAAGCTATTAAACCTCATTTGGAAGTTTTTTTTAGTATAATTGAAAGATCTAATGGATTTTAAATCTCGCAAGCTTATTGTTATCGACGGGATGAATCCAACAAGCCTAAAGTCCATCAATTCCGACATCATTAAGACACTAAAATATCCATAGAAAGTCATTTGATGAAGGGAATTTCTCTGGATTTCTATGACATTCGTTCATTATGTGACTAATGACACTGTAGAAGGACAGGTCGCGGATAAGTCTTTTTTTTTCCAAACAATCTAAAAAAAACTCAAAAATAAGGTTTCTGCTGAGGTTTCTCTTTCTAAAGAGTGGTCGTATAAATGAATATTGATGCTCAGACTCTCTATTCTAGCGCCTCAATCAACGTTGATCGGGTCTCGATGACACCTCGACCCTCGAGTAGTATACTGCGGCTTTTTACTAGACTAGGAAAGAACCTGGATTCCTTCCGTATTTACAGCATGAACTCTATATATAGATTCCTAACCCCCAAATTAGAGGGGGATCGAGAGCTCAAAGCCTGAAGAGGGCTGAAACTTTGAGAAGCTAAAGTCCAATAATATTTATGAACCACCGATCTGACAAACATCTCCTGTACTATAACCGTCGACCGCTGCCAACTACTAACGACCACCATTCGCTGGTTGCAGCCGATCATCATTGACCGGCTCCCACTCCTTGCTACGAAAGCACTATACGAAGCTACCTACGAAGTAATTGCATTATCACAAACATCGTGCCAATCTCAAAGACGGTGTATTGAAGCCTTGACTAATGCTTCTCATTACGACTGTGTCCTACAACGAGGCCATAAGTCTTTTCCGCACACCGATATTGTAACTTGAAGGACTGTGTAACCCTTTTCCACCCATAAGACAAGAAACTATACTCGTAATCGTCAATTTATAATATTTTTTTTTAAAAATGAATCATGTCTCGTAGTTATTTCTTCTTTTCAGATTTTCCACGTAAAAATCTTATAGAGTTTTTCTGCTCGTCATTTTTACTACTTAAATGTGTGTTGGATTATCATGCAATGCTAAAATATTAATTTATTATTTTACTGCTGTGAATCCTTTATATATATAATATTACATCATTGTTATTATTCAAGTAAATTACTCATGTTATTTACATGTAGGCCACTAAGGTGGTGTAAATGTAAATATCTAATCTTGGGTATTTGGCGTGTAAATACATAAACTTCTATGGTCGGTATGTAAATTTCCCCAAGCTTAAGCTAAGTATTGATAGGTAAATACTAGGTTAAGCCGTGACTCGGGTACCTTTCCAGCCCCAGTGAAACCCTATGCCAACCACGAAGAAGATGACAAATGAGAGGGGACGCTGCAGTCAATTAAAAGGCTTCACCACGATTCTTTCGGTTTCCCCTTCAAGAGGAGTTGGGCCGATCTCGATGCCCGAGGAGGATGTCCTTTCCTCTCACAACTCGAAATTCCCAAACACATAAATATCATCCTAAACAAGGCATCTTTCGATTTCCAGGTATGTTCAATTTTGTTCCGTGCTTTAAGAAGTGGAGATTGATTGCTTGTAAGGTGTTTTATCCATCCCTGATATCCCTAATTCATAAGAAGAGATTTTGGGCTTTTTCTTACGCAGGATTTGAGGCAGGGGAAGTAAAGCTTTGATCTTTTCATTTTGCTTTAGTAGGTTGCCCGCTTATTCCATCGCAAGTTCGCAATTGTGAGGAGCTTCTCCTTCTTGGGACGAAACGAATTCCCTGTTTTTTTGGGAGATTTAAGTGCAACGACTTGTAGCTTTCGTTGATGAATTGGCGAGTGGTTAGCCCTAGGATGGGTTTTTACTGATGACTGCGATTTGTTTGATGCTGGGGATTTTTTGATGAGGGTGAACACTTCTCATTTCCACTGCCCGTCGTATTGTTTCTCTAAGCCACCACCACCACCTCGACCACCGTCGCCACCGCCGCCGCCGACACCATCCCCGCCTCCTCCTCCAGTTCAGTGCCAGCCTGATGCTTTGCAAACCGAGGATTCGGTTGGCCATACGTCTTGTAAGTCTTCCCCAGGTCCTCTTGTAGTTGAGGGGAAGTTGTGTGGTGAGAAGGAGGAGATTGGTGAAAATGGCATAGATGGAAGGAAAAGGGAGTTTATTCTTAAGAGCAGCCTGAAGAAGACTAGCACTTCAGCTTCGAAGGATATTGTGCGAGAATGCGTCAAGTGGATGGATGACCTGGGGGAAGAGCTTGTGGAGATCAGGGAGTTTGAACAAATGTATGATTCTTAATTCATGCGTTTTCTGTTGTCTATTTTTCTTTTTTAGTTCAGTCAGAATCATGCTGGAATTAAGTGGTTTGTGTGTAAATATTCTTTTTCTTTTTAATGTAGAATTATAAATTCATTAATCATTACTTTGACTTTTATTCCTGGTTTAAATCCCGAGGTTGACTTCATGGTGTAGGAAGCGTTTGGTTATTGAATTTAATAAAATCAAATTTAAATACTGACCTTATTGTTTTGGGATTTATACAGAGTTTTACACTTCATTTCGAGTGAGGGATATGGAATCATGTTTCAGAACTTTTAGTGCCTGGTTATCCATCTTGGTTCAAATTGTCCAAGTTTGATCTATCTTTTGAAAACTAGCTAGTCATAAAACATGAGGGCATGGCATCTTCATTTTGTGAATGAATGATTACAAGTGATCTTGAGAGGCTGAACTTTTAATAGCACGCCACTTTCTGAATATATAATGCTGAATCTTATCTATTATGGAAACATAAGCATGCGTGCATTCATCTTAGTATTTTAGCTTCCTTCTAAGGTATTTAAAGTGTTATATAGTTAAAACTTCTAAGAAATGGAAGGTTGAGTGAGGTTTTAAAAGGTTTGATTCTTATTAGTTGATTATTATCATATTTAAGGTGATTTGTAGTTCAAGTAATCAAATTCATTTAGATGATATTGGAAAGGGCATCTAAACTGGTTCCAAACATGAGATCCATTTTTTTGAATCAGGAAATAAAGTTTTGTTGTCCTTAAAGAGAATTAAACGGTTTTGATGAAGAATTAATATGTTTTTCTATGGAATCTTTAGTCCTCAAAGTTTCCCAGTAAATTTTTCTCTCAGCTAACTCAATGTATGCCTCATTTAAGATCTATGAATGAAGATGAAATCATGAAAAGGCAATTGTTTTGGTTGATCTGGTGAGATCAAATATCGAAGATGACTTGGTTGCTTTGCAACTAAGGCTTGACACATCCTCTTGGGAACTATTTTTGAGGGATTAAATAAAAAGATGAGATAAAAGGGCAAACAACTTTCACAGAGACAAATAAGTAGAGTATAACATTTTAATTTAGGGAGTGGAAGCGATTGTTATGGAGAAATATTTTGGTGCCAATTTTATTTTAATATGATTTTTTATAAATAGCTCAAGGGCATCTTAATGAAGAAGCGAAATATTCTACTCAATGCAAACATATTTAATCCATTTTTGTAATCATTCTATTCAATTATCGTGTCTAATCTTCTTTGATTAAAATATTCTAAATAAGTATTTTTTTTAATTAAAATATTGTAGACCTATACTCAGAAAAAAGGTACCAAATGGAAAGAAAGAGGAGCCTACCTTTTTCTCTGGTCATCCATAGTTTGGTACTTGCTGGTATGGTTGCTTTTGATTCTTCAATCATTGGTCACGGCTATATGTTCTTCTAAACTTCAGTGATTTAACACTCACAATGTACTTGTAAACTTCTCATGATTTTTTTTTCTCAAAATTAATGGTTTGACATTCAAATCATGACTTTCTCTCTCATGATATTACATCAAAATGAAAACAAATGGTACAAAAACAACAACTACAAGTGTTTATCCCACTAAGTGTGGTCGGCTACATGAATTATTTTTCTCCAGTGTGCCCTATTGAGTGTCATATTTTCATTAATTCTAATAGATGAAGATCATTTTTTATGCCCAAGTCTTTTTAGGTCTACCTCTACCTTTCTTAACATAAGTCGAATTTAAAATATCTACTCTCATAAACTTTGCATTTTGTCTCTTAGTGTCAAGCCACTCATCCACCTAGGCATTCTCATCTCAAGACCATTTAATTTTGTTTTATGCTTCTCTTTTTATGTGCCATAAAGCATTGCAAGACTCACCACCATCCTATAAAATTTTCCGTTAAATCTAAGCAGTACTTTATCACACAATAGGCCCGATGCATTCCTTCACTTCAACCAACCAACTTGAATTTTACTGATAACATCCCCATCTATATCACCATCACTTTGAATAATAGATCTGAGATATCTAAAAATTTTGCATCTTTTAATGATTTGATCACCCATAGTTACAACTTTGTCACTAAAGCTCCTGTTATTAAAAATACATTCAATGTATTCAATTTTAGATCTACTCAAATGAAGGCCTTTAGACTCCAATCCAGACCTCCATAATTCCAGTTTCTCCTGAACTCCTCTCTAGTCCTCTCCACAAGAAGGATATAATCAACAAAAAACATACATCAAGGTACATCCTCTTGTAAAAGTCCAGTAAGAGCATCCATAACTAAAACAAAAGGATATGGGCTTAAAGCTAATCACTGGTGCAATCCAACTGAAATAGGAAAATACTTGGTTAATCCTCCTATTTGAGCAAGTAACAGCTATAGTATACATATCTTTAATGACTTAAATATAAGTCATATCAACATCTTTATTTTCTAGAACTCCTCAAAGAACTTCTTTTGTAATCCTATCGTAAGTTTTTTCTAAATCAATAAAAATCATATGTAGCTCCTCCTTTATTTGTACTTCTCCATCAAACCTCCCAGTAAATGTATAGCTTCCATAGTAAACTTGCCCCACATAAATCCAAACTGATTAAGAGAAATATTTGTATCACGTCTTAACCTGTGTTCAATTACGATCTCACATAATTTTAATGTATGATACATTAACTTAATTTCTCTATAATTTGCACACTCTTGTGCATCCTCCTTATTCTTAAAAATGGGGACCAAAGTACTATTCCTCTACTCCACGTGCATCTTTTTAGTTTCTAAAACAAAAGGTAAATTGAAAACTATAACATACTGTTAAATATTGATAGATCAACCACACAATTCTTTGTTTCATTGGTTTCTATTTTTGCAGAGGGATTTGAAAATAATTATTTAAAATGTATGATGAGTGAAATGGCTCAGTTATTAATTCTCTAAAGTCCTTAATACAAAAAAAAAAAATTAATTAATTGATGCACATATATAAACATTTCGTGTTTAACTTGTTTGAATTTTGATATGAGGTAGTATAACCTATCTCGATTTTATCAAACAAACATAATATATGCTATTAGGACCTTCTATGAAATTTGTAATACCACACTTATATTTATAAAGGCCCTTTTGTCAAACAATGCTTGATGAACGTTATGAAACGAACACGCTTTGGCATAAAGACTTTTGTGGAAGTAGTTAAATATGAAAGTAAATTACAGTGTCAAAGATAAATATATATTTATTACCTTATTTTTAAGGTGGTCATAAAATTTTTCATGATGGTCTATCTAAGAAGTATCGGTGTACCTTTTTGCTATAAGATTTGCCTTGTATCTTTCTAAGATTTCTTCAACTTTGTATACTATTGCAAAGACCCGTTAAGACCCCATGGTTCTTTACCCCATGGTTCTTTTCCCTTTTGACAACTCAACTACCTCCTCGGTGTTATTTCTTTATAGTGCATTTTTTCTTCTCTCATATTTCTCTTCAATTTTTATTTTTTAATGTCTCGAATAGTGTTTGTGAGGGTTTGATAGTACTAACATTCATAGGAAAAGCTTTATGGATTGGAGATAAGCTTTGAAAATGGTTATGGAGTTATGAGATATAAGGGATGTTTTGCACATTTTCTAACACTACTTATTATATAAATAGATTCATTGAGATCAATATTGTCAGGATAGGAAATTGATGGTGGAGAAAATGGGGTACATGATATGGTTATATTGTCTTGAACTTGTGAGAGTGATTGGGTAGGGTGTGAACTTTGCAGACTTGATGTGGTCAGATACTCGAGTCATTGTCAAAAATGTTTCTATGTGAAGATTTGGCTTTATATGTCTGAAATTTGTTGACTTTGAGAATTAATATATGGAATATCTCATGATAATATATCAACTTCATCATTCTTGTCTACCTTTTGAATCTTCTTCCTTTGAAAATGTCTTTAATTTTTGAAGAATTTTTTCTAAGAGACGTGGCATTTTTTGAGACAATGGATGCCTCCTTGAGGTTAGATAATAAAACCATTTGACTGGGTGAGTATCCTTTAAACATTTACTTAAATGCTCCTTGTTAAAGTTTGCATATTTGTTCATCATGAATGTGAATATATGAAACAAACTACATGTTCTTGTAGGAATTTTTGTGAACAATTTATTCTTTTGGATGTATTAAGATAATTTAGTGGGCTTTTGAAACCAATGACTCTAGATGGTATTTTATTAATTAATTAGGAGGAGGTTAAGCTAACTTCTCCCTAATATCTTTTCAGAACATGATTTTGAAAAGGTAAAACTAAGTTATTTCAAGGAGAATTCTATTTTTCTGTTTGGCCAACCCATTTTGGTGGGGTTGTTAAGACAAGAAGATTTGTGAATGATGCCTCTTATCTGTAAAATGAGGATAAGATTTGGTGGAAATATACAATGAAGTTATGAGTTCTAAATCCGTTTATGTTGAACCCAAAATAATTTTTTTCATAGTGACAAAAATTGGAAGAATATGACTCACACAGGACTTTTATTTAATGAGATATAATCATATCATTGTTGTACAATCATCAATAAATGTGATATCCTTTAGCTATCGAGAAATTTGGTATCATTAACAATTCCCAAGTATTATAGTGGATCATGCAAAAATGAGTTTCTAATCTAGAACGACTTGAATGAAGGGACGCATAACGTTGTATTGTAAATTCATAAGTTTCAAAATGAATGATTCTTCACTAACATTTCTAAACAATGAATGAAAACATTGTTGTAGAGTTTTAAAAGAGAGCTGACCTAGACAAAGACCATGATTCCAAATCTCATCTTTATTAAAACAATTAGACTTCAAGGACATGTGATGGGATGTTTTGACTAATTTCGCTTCAAGGAAGTATGGCTTATCTCTATCTGTTATCCTATTATCTTTTTCATAGTTTGGGCTTAAAAAGTATAATGATGGATGAAAAATATTTGATGAAAATTTTGTTCTTTTATGATTTTATGGATGGGCAATAAGTCTAGGTACATAATGTATTTCTTGAAAGATAAAGGACTAAATAAATGTTATAGTTTCCCTGTCTTTATCTATAATCAAAGAACCATTTGCATATTTTATTTTCTTATTGCTCCAAGTGCATTGAGGAAGTTGCACAACTTGTCGTTCTCTTTGAAGATTAGAACGACATATAACAGATAAAGACAATAAGAAATCCCCCCCTCCCCTCTTTTTTGTTGCAGTACTTACAAATCAGACTTTAGGTTGAATTCTTTGTCCTTCATTCTTGGTGTCTTCAGTTGCTATTAAATTTTCTCCCTAAATTTCTCTTTATGTGTTTACTATGGTTGATCCCTCTATGCTTTGGAGTTCTATAATGGTTTTACTTAGCTCTACAAAAGAGAAGGCTTCCTTTAGGTTGGATGAGGGTTCTCTGAAAAAAAATTCTTTTTTACCTGGCCAACTCAATGTTAAGGTCTGCAAGGAATTTGAAATTATTTTTCTTTCCACATAAGCAACAACTTCATTACGTTTTATCTTGAAATTTAGATAGCAATCTAATTTCAGTCAAATGCTTTTCATTATGTTGAAGAATTTGATGACCAGAATATTTGTTTTGATTTCATAGATGAATGTGATATCTTTGGCTTTTGGATAAATCTGTATCACAGTCCCCTTCAAAGAGGAGATAGGAACATATAAGGTCTAGATAATTTGCTTTATTGAGTTTCATAGTTAAATAATAATCATCAAATCTTCATCGTCTCGAATATTAAACTATTGACCTTCAAGACTCGGAGGCCTGACGAGGATGTGATTAAGTTTTCCTTTTCTTTCATGAACGATCTTCATAATTTGAGATCACCTTTAGATAGTTTCTTTCATTTAGTCACTATGAAATTTGCAGATTCTGAATTTGGAGACAATAATAACTTAGCTTTCTGAAGTAATGGTGGAAGGATTCATTTGAAGAGAAATTTGAAATTTAATACATTGGAAACAAAAATGTAGCAATCAAGACAAGAGTATGGCATGAATTTTGGAAAAGCTACTTGAAAACAAAACCAAGCTCTGTTACCATTAAGAATTTATTCAACAAGGTATGACATTATGATACAGAGTGTAAATATTTATACATGTTGAAGCTACTTTCACCAAAAAAATAAATTCAATTTCCAATCCTATAATTATAACAAGAATAGTTTAAGACGAAGAAACTGTTAATTTTTTAGAATCCTACGAGCATGGGCACCTATTGATGACATTATTCTTTCCATTTGTCAGTTGATCCATGACAGCCTTTTGCCCTTTATTCCCTGTAACTACTAGCAAGCAGATTCTTTGTTTTTTTAGCACCTGAACTAACCGTAAGGTCGTTCCTTCATGATTTAATCCCCAGAATATTGATGGGGCTGTAATTATAGTTTCCTGGAATTCCCATCCAGATTCTCCAAGAAATTTGATATGGCTGTATCTTACTATTGTTTTTTAGTGTCTATTGAGAACAGTTTTTTGTCTGTTTTATGTTTCAAACCGCCTTCACAGCTCTATTTGGGGAACTAATTTCTTGCTGCTTTCTAGAAATTTCTGTGGTTAGAAGTTTTTTTCGACCTAACTTGCTAAAGTGTATGTTTATAATTCTCATTGCAGCTTTTTAAGTAATTCTTAGGTCTTTAAGTAAGCTACTGTTTGAGGTTTTGAAAAAAAAAGTATATTTTTAATTTTCTTTGTAGCTTTTTAAGTAATTTTTCCACAGTAGCTTTACAACCATCTTTTTAAGTAGCTGTAGCCACTCCAAGAAAACACTTAATTTCAACCAGTTTCATGAGAGGTGCCTCTAAGGGGGCCGTTTGGTTTGCTGAAAATGAAGTACAATGTAAAAGGTTTGCAAAGTATTTTACTACAATGTATTTGAAATATTTTATAATTCTTTGTAGATTGAAAATATAAATACTACATTGTATTTGAAATAAACGCAGGATTTATATTTTTTTTGTTTGGTTTGAAGTAGATTGAAAATAATATAATAATTTAATTCAGAGTCGAGTAGCGGGCTGCGACCAGGGGGCAGCGGGGGGCAGCGGGCGACAGGCCGAGAGTGGTGGCCGTTTGCAGGGGGCGATGGGCAATAGGCAGGCGGGCGATGGGCGGCGGGCAGTTGGCGGCGTCGACGACGAGGCGCTGGAGGTTGATGACGGGAGACAGTTTGTCAATAGCATTTTATATTGTATTTCAAATTCGGTCAAATCGACTGAATTCTAAATTCAGCCAAAACAAACTAAGGAGTAAACTATAAATTCATTGAAACTTTACATTGTACTTGTACTTTTTCATACCAAAAACATAGTTTTCTTAGATCCCTATAAATGAATTGCAATACATTACAAATCCTTCCAACCAAACGACCCCAGAGACTTTTAGAGAGAAGCGGTGATCATCCCTTGGAGTGAAGTGTATATTATTGAGATGAAAATCACAAACACCATAACCCCCCTTCCCTTCCCTTTGGTGCAAACAAATGCAAGTATTAAATTCAGTCCAAGTAAAATTAGTTATAGATCACGTTTGCCTATCTTATTTCTCTTTTTGTAGGGTCCTTTCTAATCTTATAATAACAAGTAATGTATTATAAGCAGGGAATATTTGTAGCGATGAAATATTTAAACAATATATAGAGGAAGTAGTTATTTTCTTGGAAAGAAATTAAGAGAATGCCTCATTGCAATCAATTCGTAACCGGTCTGGTAACCAATTTTACCATAATCTAAAAGTTGGTCCTCAATTTTCTCTTGTTCAATCTTGTGATCTTTATTTGACCTAGCTTACTTCATGAGCATTACTTTCTCATGAATTTAGGTCTTAAAAAGGGTTCAATCTTCAAGTCACGCTCGTTGCTCTCATAATATGATCACCGGTTCACTAGGGATGCCATTTCAATTTTTGCTGAATGAAACATTTCAATTCAAAATTTTCTTCGTTGTGCTTGTTGGATCTTCCTTGCTTTGTTGCACATGATTATCTATACTTTGCACACAAATCATTTGCTTGCTTGTTTGTTATGATTTTAATAATGAGTTAGATTTTAATTATTGACTGATAATCCATCGCTTGTATTGTGAATTAGAAATGTGAGCTCTTTTGTTGTATGTCAATTATTTTTCCTTGTTGGAGAACTAGGAATTACTTTTTTTCTTATTAAAATGCCATTTGTGTTACAGTGAATCAGGAGAACTTGATGATGCAATGAAAGATCATCCAACCTGCTCATGCGTTATTCTATGAGCACAGTAACCGATCTGGAGTTTTCTTTAAGGGCATATTTGTAAGTTGTATCAGGCAAAGACCCCAGTTGTCTGCCTAATGTTTGCCTTCTTTGGTTTACCATTTATTGTCTGAGGTGCTTTTTTCATCTTCAGCTTTTTGGCACCCTCTGTTAAGCTTCTGTTATTGTTTGCTTGGATTTCAGTCAAAGTTAGTAATCAAACCCAAGATTATGTTATGTTTAATCTGTTTGGAAAAGGAATGTTTTTTTCCTTAAAGCCATAGAGCGGTCTTTTAGGTGAAGGCTGTTTTTGAGTTATAGTGCACCATTGAGATGTTTTCAAGACTATCACTTTCTAACCTTTGACTTTAGTTCTGGTGGAATAACCAGAGAGATAGCAGTAGTTGGTTTGGATGTAAGAAATCACGCCTCAATGCTCTTAGAAATTGGTTGCAGGTGACAAGATCTTGTGAGGCTTTTCATGTTGACTTTCAGACAGTGCTAGCTTGAAAGGTACTTTCATTGCGATTTATTGTTTACGGTTGCATTCCATGGTGAATTCAGTTTTTTAAATAAAACCTTCTTAGGACTTTCTGGCTGTTAGTCTTATCGATGTCCGTTTAGGTTGGCTAGGATTGTAAATTTTAATTTTGCTGTATCAGTGGAGGGTCTGCCTCGTCTTTCTAATTAGTTTTTTCTCTCTTACTTACTCCAATGAAATTGCTTCTTGTATGAATCAAATAATAGTTGAGTACCGGTGGGGAATTTGTGTTAAATACTTTATAAATACCACCTCATCCTGCTTAGAGGTCATGAGTATATCGGTGATATTGAAGTCACACAATGGACATATTCTCCACTATCTTAGTTCATGTGCGATATTTATATCCCAATTTGCTTTATGAGTTTCAAATGCTAAATTATGAGTTTATCTTTTTTCATGTTTGGTAGATGTCATGGCAATATGTATTTATTTTGGTCGAAAGCATCTCTTCAAGTAATGATTTAAGCTAAAGCTTTCTTTTTTTTTCTTTTTGTTAGTTCGCTTATTTTCATTTAGTTAGCTTATTTTTATTTGTTATTTCCTTAGCTTTAGATTAGTTCCTTTTTTATATAGTTTTAAATTTGATTTAATTTAGGTTAGAAACTCAATTTGTCAAAGTTGAATTTTTGCACATTCTCAATTTGTCGAAGTTTAGGTTAGAACCTCATAAATTTGTGAGGAGAGTGGGAAGAGTTGTTTTAGTTTCATATTTTTGTACATTCTTGAAACAAATGGCTTAGAGCAAAACAAGATCTAGAGATTTTCAATATTGCAAGTATTATGAAGCTACAGACATAAATATATATCAAGCGAGAAGCATTCAAAGATTCTGATATAAAGGGCAGTTGGAGTGAGATGGTATAAAATAAGTTTTTATTTTATTATTTGACTATGTTAGAATGTTATATATTTTATCCATTTTGTCTCCAACATTTGTGATACCATAACAAGGTAAAACTGAAATATGCAATTTAAAAATTTCTAGAAAAGAAGAAAAGCTAGACCGAAAATCCCTAAGGGAAAGAATGTGTTTATTGAAAAGAAGGATGGGTGGTCACCACCAGGGCACCGCTCCAAGATATTGAATACACTTCTTAATTTGGAAGAATACGATAAAGGTTATTACAACTAATAAAAAACTCTTAATCCCCAACCCACACAAAATAACTCTTATTTATAAATGCTAGATTCTCTTAATTATGTCATCCTAAAACATAGAGACACAATAATCAACTAAAACAAATAAACCAAGACATAAGCTGAAATTAAACTCTTACCCCCACGTCATTGTTTCGGGATTGGCAAGGTTTCCTCACATTGAACAATCTTAGAATCTAATTCAATGTGTAGTCAACTTGGAGACATTGAGAAATGGCAGATTCGTTCTAATCCCCGGCTAGGTTAAGTTCGATGATTCAAACATCTTCCAAGATTATCACTACTGAAATTGGATCAAGGGGCTTCAAGGTCCAATTTTGAAGCATCTTCCACTTGACATCAATTTTTTGAGAACCAAGACTAATTGGTGCTTTTACTGCTGTAAGATATTGAGCTTGTCCCATATCAAGACCAGAATTTATTGACTCACCTTTCAAGCTTGGTTGCCCTCGAAGTAACGATGCCTAATCCATATTTTTATGTATATCAGTTTGATATTGATGGCTGAGAAAAACCTAATTAACATTCCTTCTAGTTTAATCACTTTGCAATATGGGAATCTTCACTATCAGCTTTTTGGTCAATTATACATTCAGAATTTTTCAATATTGCAAGTATTATGAAGCTACAAACTTAAATATATATCAAGCTAGAAGCATTCAAGGATTCTGATATAAAGGACGGTTGGAGTGAGATGGTATATGGTAGAATGTTATATATATTTTATCCATTTATGATACCGTAACAAGGTGAAACTGAAATCTGCAATTTAGAAAATTCAAGAAAAGAAGAAAAGCTGGTCCGAAAATCCCCAAGGGAAAGAATGCATTAACTAAAAAGAAAGATGGGTGATCACCACCAGGGCACCGCTTCAAGATATTGAATTCACTTCTTAATCCGGAAGGATAAGAGAAAGGTTATTACAACTAATCAAAAACTCTTAATCCTCAACCACACAAAACAACTCTTAGTTATAAAGGCTAGAGTCTTCTAATTACAAGTATGTAATCCTAAAACTTAAAGACACAACAACAAACTAAAACAAATAAAACCAAGACATAAGATGAAATAAAACTTTAGTCCCCGCTTCATTCTCTTGGGATTGGCAAGGTTCCCTTATATCGAGCAATCTCAGAATCTGATTCTTAATGAGTTGCCAACTCGGAGACATTGAAAAATGATTCTCTAATCCTCAGGTAGTTTAAGTTTGGTGATTCAAACATCTTTCAATATTATCACTACTGAAACTGGATCAAGAGGCTTTAAGCTCCAATTTTTAAGCATCTCAATCCATTTGACATCAATTTCTTGAGAACCAAGATTAAGTGCATTTCTTGTTGTAAGATATTGAGCTTGTCTAATATCAGGACCCAAATATAGTGTCTGACCCATATTTTCATGTATATCAGTTTGATGTTGATGGCTGAGAGAAACAATATCAACATATCATCTAGCATGATCACTTTGCAAATCTTTTCCAGCATGAGAATCTTCACCATCAGCTCTTTTGTCAACTATATATTCAGAATTTTTCAACTAGATGAAATGGATTTACACCTCTTTCCTCAAGAATCTTATTTTTTTGATTCGTCCAATTTTCTTAGTGGAATGGGTTCCCTTCTTTTTCACCCATCACCTCATTTTCGGATTCATTTTGACGCTTTCTAGGATCCCACTGTTCAAAAACTGCCAATCTTTCTTGTAAACAATGAATTTTTTGTTGCAAGTCTCTGCGACTAATTCTTAGCTAGGACGTATGTTGCTGCTTCTTGGCGTTCCCCACTGTTTCGGTGTGAGGTTGTAGAGGAAAGGAAGGATATTAGATCTCGTGTGATCTGCGATTAAAGCCAGCTTGCAGGAAGAATGTAGGGAACACCGCAGAGAAGAATAAGAAGACAACAGCAATATAAAATTAGGGTTCCCAGAGGCTGGAACAATGAATATGTGTTAGGGATGTGGTGCATGAGGGTTCGAACAGTGGCCAAGTGGTAGGGACGTGATCCGGGATTGCTGGAACAACAGTTGGTGAGAATGAGGGGATTTATGGTGGTTGGAACAATGATGGCAACTAGCGGGGGAGTGCTGGAATCTAAGTGGCAACATAAAGCGAGGCTAGAACAGTGATGGCGGCATGGATTGAGGCGGTAGGGAGAAGTAAGAAAATACAAAGAACAAAAATCACAAGAACAGTTCTGATAAAATTCAGCAAATCTGGACGACAAATGTTTTTGCTCTGATTCCAAGATGATATCGTAACAAGGTAAAACTGAAGTATGCACTTTTGAAAATTCTAGAAAAGAAGAAAAGTTGGGCTAAAAAATCCCCAAGAAAGGGAAGGAATGTGTCAACTTAAAAGAAAGATGGTTGATCACCACCTGGGCGCCACTTCAGGATATTAAATACCTTTCTTCAAATGTCATTGGTTTTGCCACAAAATCTCGAATTGTTCGACGCATTATTTCATTGGTAGAGGAGGTTGATTTAGAGGAAATTGTTGTGATAGACGAAGAAGATACTAATCCAACAAGGGACTAAATTGTACATGCAGATGAAGGAGAATTACTTGTGATAAGACATCTCGTAAGTATCGAATAATCAAATCTTCCAATAAAGATTGGTTACGACACACAGTTCAGGAGAAGGTTTGTAATCTTGTCATCAATGGTGGAAGTTGTGAGAATGTGGTTGCAACAACCGTGGTAAAGAAGTTTAGGTTAACTACTCAAATCTCATTTTCTTCCTAAGAACTCACGTGGTTCAAGAAGAGGATTGAAATTAAAGTCAACCGATAAGTCATGGTGTCGTTTTCGGTCAATCGGAAACTTCATTAGCAAGTTTTATGTGGTGTAATTCCTTTGGATGTTTGTTACATACTGCTTGGTCGGCATTGGCAATATGACCTCCGTATGATTCAAGATGGGTATGCTAACACTTATTCCTTTATTAAAGAGAGAATTCAAACCACTTTGGTGCTTATGGAGGAGATTCAAATAGGGGGCTGAAATCAACACTTTTACTCATTGCTTTTGAAAGATCTTAAAGATACAACCATGGAGCATCTCTTGATCATAATCGAGAGTTCCAGACAACTACCAATAACTCATTCCGAAGTGCAAGGATTGATGTAACAGTTCGAAGATATATTTCCGATAGAGATTCTTGCAGGATTGCCTCCTATTTGAGAGGTACAAATGTCATTGACCATGTATCTGATTCGGTCTTCCCAACAAACCTGCATATAGGATGTCTCCCAAAGAGCAAGAGGAACATCAACGCCATGTGCATGAGCTTATCCACAATGGTCTTGTGCGACGTAGTGCTGGCCTGTGCGTTGTTCAGACTCTCTTGGTTCCAAAGAAAGATAGTTGATCATCAATTGGGCGTAATTCTAGGTTATTGTATACACTTCTTAACCTAGAATGATACGGGAAGGGTTTTTAAAACCAATAATCCATCTCCACTCCCACACGAAACAACCCCTATTTATAAAAACTATACTCTCCTAATTACACTTATGACTTCCTAAAACATAGAGACACAACCATAAATTAAAACACATAAACCAAGATATATAAACTAAAATAAAACTCTTGTTCTCGCACCAAACTCTCTGTGCCCTTTTTTTTCTCTTAGTAGTCAAGCCTCATCACATTTGGATTTCTTTGGCAGGCTATGAATTTGGTGGTTTGCTCAAGCTAATATTTCTAGCAACTTTCAAAGCAGCTGAACACTCCACCATCGAACTGTCAAAGCAGATGAAAGCCATAACTGACTTCGAGGTTGAATTATTATGCATGAAAGGGGGGCTTTTGGAAAAAAAATGAAAATGTTGTTAAGGATAGATCATACATGATTGCTGATTGCCCCAACTGAGCTGATGTTTTTTCTATATTTATTTGAGAAAACTGCCGTGTAATTGACTATATCCCAGTTTTTTTCTTTGATTTTTGAGGATAATCAATCTATAGGTGCTCTGTAACTTTTCTATTGTCAGGGGATTGTATTATTTGTTTATCAATATAATGACAATATGATGATGGAAGAACATATGATTATAAGAAAATATTCTCAAGTTATGTATTTGACATCCAAATCATTTTATTCATGTTCTATAAATGAAGTATTTTGTTTAGTGGATCAAGGGTGTGTTTGGGGTGAATTTTTTTGTTGCATTGCTCTTTAGGTTGTCATCACAATTGTGCCTGATTATTAATTTTTTATTTTAATTTTTTAAAATTTTCTGATACGAAGTTGTTTTATAACGCATTTATCCATGACGTAGTAGTTGAGAGTTTAGTTTCTTATTTTTAATGTCTCGGGTTCGAATCGTGCAAATCGCCCTCTCAACTTAACTTTCCATATATAATGTTACTGATGAGCATCAGCCAACGTCTGGATCTATAATTTAAAGGCAATTGTCATACATTCACACTACTCTGCAAGTCTTTTTAAGAGAAATTAAGTGTATGGCAAAAAATCCTATTATTACTACAAATTCTTTTGGATTGGATCGATCAAATTGTAATACAAATTTTAGAAATAAAATTTAATTTAGCTGGTCATTAATTATGAATCCGCTCATCTTTTATGAACTATGGGTTTCTTCATGGTGGCTATAATTATTTGTACAAGTTATTGCAAAATTGTGGTATAGAAAGTAACTTGTTAGGAAGTTAATAAGAACTATAAATAAATATTAAAAAAAAAACGCAACAACTTTCTTACCGCTACTTCTAACATGTCGAGTTGAAAGAAAAATAACTTCTCAATGGAGAAATTTATAGAAAGCAGAAAGAAAGTATTCCCAAAAAGAACTATACTAACGTTTGAAATGCAAAGCAGAGAGAAAGTTATCACAAACATAGCTTTTTAAGTGTTGAGTTTAAAGTTGCTTGAAACTTTAACTCATCATGCTGGCAAGGCACGCTCGTACATACTCGGTCATCAATACTAAGCCATTAAACTTGTAAGCTAACTTTAAATTTTGATATGAAAAAAAAAAAAAAAAACTAATTTAAGGTACTATGCTTCAACTTGAAAGTATTTAAAAATTTCTAAATCATAGGTTATTTATTAATCAAACATGCTACACAACTAGATACATTGAGTCTATTCAAGCACCTGAGCTAGTAATTTTTCATTTAGATCACATGATACTACTAATCTTGATCAATATTTACAAGTAGAGGGTTACAAATCGCATGTGATGATGTGAGATATATGATGTAATTTGGTACTTAGGCCAGACTCTCGACTGTCTAAAGCAATAAGATATGCATAAGCCTATATCTCCTTTTTCTCTTGAGCAACTTAACCACATAGAGAATCATCTTAATTGAATGATCCAAGGTATCACTGAATGATTTCAACAGGTCTTTCCTCCTAAACAGGCACACAAACTCCCTAATAGCCTAATTGTAATAATTTCTTTTTTTATTATTACCTAAAAGAAGCTTTTGGAGGTAGTTTTGTGCAGTTTTAAAGTCTTTTTAAGCTACAATTTAAAATAGATTTTGTCTCAAAACAATATATTGGCCTTAATGAACGATGAGATTGTCATCTAAGGGAATAAATTAGTTCATGGCACCATGTTAACATAAGTGAAGGAGTTGCATCATCGAATAAACTTAAAATTTTGATTTTTTTTCCAAAATTTTTTATGAGATTTGGAGTGTCTTCGAAGTAACTAATTTTCATGTTCGAAAATAAGGGCATTTAATACTCAGCCAAAAAAATTCATTTGATCATGCATGCGTTTCAATATATTTTCAAAACCTTAAGCATTGGAGTATTCAGATCAAAAGCTTTGAGAAATAATTTTTAGATCATCTAAATTTGTTTTCAACAAACTTCAGGTTGAGACAACAATAGTCAACGAGACAAAATTGACATTACCACTAATGATTAGATTAGAATTGAGATGAATTTAATCAAGGACTACGAAGACAACAATAGTCAACGAGACAAAATAGCCATCTCACTTACTCGGTATTCCCTCAATTTGATTAGGAGGATAGTATCGCATTAACTATTTAATCATCTTTCAACATCTGATTATTCACATTGGCATCCGTCATCATGGTTGACAAGTGTGAAAGAGTATTGTCATTCATATTTTAACACTCTTCATTGATCGATGTAGAAAACTCTTCTTAGCCATCATTATATATTCTCCCACACAAATGCTTGCTACTATCACTGGTTGACAATGATCTCGATTGATGTTCATCATCGATCGACTCAACAGCTTCATGGTCTTCTTTCCCCCCCCCCCCCACCATCACATAATCTCACACAACTTAAACATTATAATATTAACTTATTCAGCATTTCTCAAAGACATCTCTCTATAATTTTATACCAAGCTACATAGTAAAAGTAAGCACATCCTTTCTAACAAGGTACACTACTAGATTCATGGATGAATAATGCGACTTAATGTGATCATATAAAAGCGATATCAAAATCCATCTAAGTTCTCATATTTCAAAATCTCAAAAGAATTTTTCTTTATAAAATCATACATAGTCAAGGAAACCACCTTCTATCACTATGTAACTCGCCACTTTCCTAAGTTAAGTCAGTAGTTGTTGCACTAAATGCTAAAGAATGAGTGTTTTTTGTACTCTCCGATTTTTGTTTGGCAATATCATATCTTAAAACATATCTTGGTGATGTCTTAAAGTGCTCGTAGTATCATCTTAAATATACAAGCCAAAACTATGAAAATCTAAAATTATGCATGACTAGTCCATATGTGATAAAATTGCATCACAAAATCACATCGCAATGCTTAAGGCAATATCTAGTATATTGTTACATTAAATGGTTGGATTATAGTCTCTTAAAAATAATACACGCACACATACAACATACATTGAAAAAGATTGGTCAGAGGTTATTATACGAGTCTCCCGACTAATCTCATGTGCTTAAGAATTCCATCTTGCACATTATGAGATTGAACCTATAACCCCAGAGGTCTTACAAACTTTGCCAACCAAAGAATCAAGTGATGCAGCATATATATATATATATATATATA